AGTAGCAGAGCAGTTACTATTAAACATAGTTTCTGCAGTGTTGTAGGGCAGTTATTAATGCTTGCTTGTTTCTCGCTTATAGATCATTGAGTAAAATGAACTGGCAGGGAGTTTGGAGGAATAGCTAGCAAAGAAGTAGTCTCTGATTTTTGGGCTCAGAGAATTATCCTTAAAAAAGAAGTCTAAGAATTGGGACCAAATACTCAGATATTATTAAAATACTTCTGAAAATGAAAGTCCTCTTCCAAGAGGTCTTTTTTCAACTTAGTGCAATCAGATCTGTCATGCCCTGTGGAATCATAAGAATTAAGAATTGGTATAAGTTTGATTCCAAATAATTGCAAAGAAATAAAAGTTCTTCAGGGGAAGTTTCTGCCTCTGTAGCTGCTCCATCAAAAGAAAACTATGACTAAATCTCTGCTATAAGCTAAATTTGTTATTCTAATGGTCAGGCCCATTATTTCACTTACTGAGATCTATTAAAATCTATCATTTTACAGAAAATTTTGGTGAATAAATTGCCTGTAAAAAATACCTGATAAATACCTAATAAATTTTGTGAGTTGTTTAAAATGGTGTCTTGTCTAGTGGGAGAAAGTTAGTCTTTTAGGCGTTCGTTTTGAAACAAGAATTTTGCAGTGTTCACTTTCCCTCTTGCCCAAAGAGAGTTAGGTTCTTTGTGCTCATGAGTCAAATCTGTTGACTGAAGGAAGCCTTTCCCAATAGAGATATGGAGTATAATGTTAAGGATTGGGAGAAGGAGACATATAAAATGGTTTATTGATTAAACTTATACCCATTTTAGCATTTTTTATCAGTTTATCACATAATTCACTTTTATGTGTAGTGAACCAGAGGCCAGAAATATGCAGGGATAAACTTACAGAAATTATAAGTCTCAGACACCCAAGACAATATGAGGTTAGTACTGGGGCCAAATTTTTCCATGATTTGTCATACTCCCTTCTTGATTCTAGATGTGTCCTTATTTACACTATATATTTTTTTAAATTTATATATGAATGTGGTTAGGTGTGTCCTTCGATTCAAAGGCTTTTGGTGACAGAAAGTCAAAATGAAAGAGCATTTTCTCCAATCCAGAATTTTTTTGTGGTTAGGCCTTCAACCAAAATTTCCAACTTCCACTTGTTTAACCAAGTGTGATATTAACGAATAGGTGCATACAATTTAGCCAGAAGCCTGGATCTTCTTCTCAAACTGGCACTCACATATGACAGTGGACTAGCCCTAGAATACATGGAGCATATTCTTGCAATGTAACCTGACTTACAGATTTAAGGAAGGAAATTTTATTTTAAAATAAACATAAGATTAAGGAATCTGCAAAATTCACATTAATTCTTAGAAAAAAATCACAGAAGATTTTAGTGTTATAGGCTGTTTGGGGCTCCCTTTCTTGACATACTGTCCCCTCCCTGCCCTAACCTGTCTCTGTCTTTAGGCTAAGTCACCGGAAAAGTTCCAGAACATCTTAGAAGACACTGCATGAATATTGATGGGATGAATATATTCAATTTAGATTTAGTAAGATTATTTTAATGGAAATCATAATCAGAAATGTATAAAAATAGCCTAAAACCCTGATTGTAGAAATTCCCTCTTGAAAATCCAGATATCCTATAAAGTAGATCAAACCCAAAAGGAAGTTTGGTTGGGATACTATATTTCAAAAGAGGATTTTTAGCCATTGAGAAATAGGATTCCCATGAGGGTCAGAGCAGATGTGTCAGTTTGCATTCTAGAATTTAGAATATTAGGATTCTGGAGTTTCTGATTTTCCAGTAACCCCTGCGGAAATAAACTAAGCTAGGCCTAAGTTGATTGAGGCTGAGTTACTGTGCAGTGGGTAACGGCAGCTCTCCGCTGAGCGCTTTCCACCATGTGCCATGCACAGTGTTTTATATTGATGGACTCGTAGTGCCTTGTAAAGAATGCCTTGTCCCTTTTTACAGATGAGAAAACAGAGACTCAAAAAGAGTAAGTGACTTGTCTGGGATCTCACACTCAGCTAGTTCTAGAAGCAGCCTTCAGTCCCAGGTCTTTCTGACTCTGGGGTAGTGTTTTTATGGTCTGTTGTTTCCAATATAGAAAACCAATTTGCTATGGTGGGATAACTTTTATTTCCTTAGTCCTTTTCATCTAAGCGTCTGTAAAGAGTGACCAAAAGTGTCTAAATCTCAATCTTCTGACCTATAACATAATGCAGCCCAGAATGTTGAAAGATCTCTCAAATTAAGGTTTCAAAAATAATTTAGATTTAACTTTGATGAAAAGAGGTAGAAAAAATAATGGGTATTTTAACATCATTCCGGTTTTCAAAAGGAGAAAATATGATGACTCTTGAGTACTACTAATGGTGATGTGACATTCCTCAGGAAGACTCTTAAAGACAAAGACACAGCAATCACTGGAAAACTTCATGGATTCACTAACAAGCCAGATTTGCTTCTTGGACAGGCTCACCAGACTATTAGATCCATGAAATTCAAAAGGCAAAACAACTGACCTTGAGCATGGTACTTTGCAAGGTCATTTCTCAATATTTTACAGACAGAGCAAGATAAACAGAATTTAGGTTCTAGAATACATTGCTGGATCAATAACTGGTTGAATTACTGTACCCAATAGGTCACTGATGTCTAGCTGAAGATATATTTCTGATGGTATCTGACATGGCTCAGTCTTCCACCTTGCAATAATTTTTATCAGGTGTCTATAAAAGTCCTGATAATCCAAAATTTTCATAGGAGGAAGAGAATGCATATCTAATGAACCCATAGCCAGAATCAGAATATAAAATAACTTTAACAGGTTTTGGGAGGCAGAAATGTGGAGGACTATTCTCAGGTTTAAAAACTGAAAAACAGGGGCACCTGGGTGGCTCAGTTGGTTGAGCGGCTGCCTTCAGCTCAGATCATGATCCCAGGGATCGAGCCCCACATCGGGCTCCCTGCTCAGCGGGGAGCCTGCTTCTCCCTCTCCCTCTACTACCCCCACTGCTTGTGCTCGCGCACTCTCTCTTTCAAATAAATAAATAAAATCTTAAAAAAACAAACAAACTGAAAAGCACAAGTAAAAATAGAGAGTGATATGATTTGAGGGTTTTAAATTCATTAGATTTTATTATAAGGCATTGTTACCTTTAGGCATAAGAAATATAGCTGTGTGAACTAAAAGAAATTAATGAATTCCCTTCCTTTTTCCTTATCACTAATCTTGTGGAATATAAAAACTTTTACCAATATTTATACAATGCTCATTCAGAATGATACACCTCATTGATAAATTGCACCTATATAGAGTGTTTGTAGTCAAATTATATCAGGTGCATGTTACAAATTATGAAATACTGTTAAACTCACCAAAGAGTCTTATATTATGATGCTTTTGTTTAACTCTAGCCCAGTAATTCTCTTTCCTTTTTTTTAAGATTTATTTATTTATTTGAGGGGGTGGTGAGAGGCAGAGGGAGAGGCTCAATGCCAGGACCCTGAGATCATGACCTGAGCAAAAAATAAGAGTTAGCCGCTTAACAGACTGAGCCGCCCAGGTTCCCTGTAATTCTCTCTCCTAAGTTGTTTTCATAATCTTCCTTTTGCAGGAAACTTTTTGAAAAATATTTTAACGTAAGCAGTTACCTACCTTTAATTGTTAGATCCTTATAACTTTTTAGAGAGAGCATGTGGGAATTAAATGAAAATTTATGTCCATTTTTCTTTTCTGCAGTTGTTTCCTCGCACTGAAGTATAGATTCCCTGAGTTTGAGAACCCTGTCAGTCTTCCTTACCATGACCCTCGAGCCTGCGACAGTGCATGGCACATGGTAGTTGCTTGATAAATATTCGTTAAAGGAAATAATATCTTGGATGATTTTAACAAAGCTCATCTGTCAGATATTGACTCCATATAGTATAGTTTGCTCTTAGCCCCTGTGATTATCAGTGAATGGTTTGATATTATGCAAAAGTGAACAACTACTCGGTAGGCCAGTCAACATGAAAAGAAGCCTACTACGGATTGAGTGTATCTTACACCTATTGTAGGTTAGCTATGTTAAATTTTCTAGTAACAGCATGTCAAGTATTGTAAAATAATACAAGTAGTGGTAGTAGTTACTCATTATATGCCGCGATTATATGACCATTAATAAAGAGACTTGGTGCATTATTGTGTGAGGAGATACAGGGGTCAGGGTAACAGAGCTATGGATCAGAGCAGTCCAGTCAAATTCTGGTTCAACTGCTCTTATTAGTTGTCTGATGTCACAGTAACCACTCTCTCAGCTTCTCCATTTGTACAATGGACATAAGACTAGTAATTATTTCACAGGGTTGGTGAGAGGATTAAAGGATACATAAAGAGATTAGCACAGGAATAATAAATGTGAATAATAAAGGCAAACTCCTTTATGCAGATGAAATTTCTTCTCAGAAAGATGTGACCATCCTACGCCACAGGCAGGAATTTGGGAACCAGCCCCTGGAACCCAGGTCCCTCCAACTCCAAATTCTATTTGCATTCTAGCTGTGCTGCTTTAACATGATGTGAGAAGAATGCTAGAATCATGTTCAACTACCAGCCAAAATACAAAGAGTCTGAATGGCCTTTCAGGAAGAAAAAGCAGGCAAATGAATAAAATAAAAGGACAACACAGAATAGAAAAATAAAATGTCCTGGCCCTGTGGCATCTGCACAAATAGAGAATACTAAGTACTATATATCTTGTTGTTGAACAGAGGGAGGAAATAATTTTATAAATATTTTATAATTGTTATTTTAATAGTCAAAATTATTTCATCTATTTACATGTATTTTGACAGTGTTAAAAGACAGAACTTTTTCCCTTGTATATAAATTGCTCTAGGCAAGCATGTAAGAGTGAGCAAAATTTAAATATTTAGTCTACTTTATCATGATGGTATTTTTCTCAGTTGTGTACTATCATTTATGTATGAACCTCATTTATTTTGTTTCCACAGAATGCTGAGGTTTCTGTTTTTGAAGTAAATATACGCTTTGTTGGTGGACTACTCTCAGCTTACTATCTGTCCGGTGAAGAGGTAAGGTGAAACTCTAAAATTACATTTTAGTGGTAAAATTTGCTTTTTGTGGCATCTATTCTCATATTTTGATGGACCTCTAGCATACACTGAATTTCGTATAATATATACTCATTAAATGAGCATACTGGGAAAGTTGGGCACGACATGTTCTGAGGATACGGTAAGCAATGCCTTTAAAAAGCCTGGCTCGGTTCTGTTAAGTGTGAGGTGATTCCAGCTATAAATTAGATATGCCTGTGGACAAATTAAAGAGGTTTAGTGCAGTGACAGGCTTGTGGATGAATTTTTTTTCTTTAAAAATTATTTTAATGTTAGCATAATGTTAGCTTAATTAAAACCTTTTGCAGGTGGAGAAAGTTTGATAAGTAAGGTCTGAAAATTACAGTATTTAAGAAATTGAGGAGGTAAGTGAGGTACTCAGCCTTCCAGTTAGAAGTCCTGTAGGCCAGTGTCCCTGTGTAAAGTGCTTTGGAGCTCTTCCTAGAGTGAGACTTAATTAATTATCTGCTCGGAGGAAAGCAGGAATTTTTAATTTAGCTGCCTTTTATTGATAGATTAAGAAAGGATTTTTGTATCATGCTTATAAGAGCGCAGATGCTATTTTCTTGAAAGGGTTTGGACAACTTTATGAATATCCTAAGTGTCCACTAAGAGTTGTTGGAATGGACTTCACCTTTAATGTGGACAGTATTAAAAGCTGACGTCAAGGAAAAAGAGTCACATATTTCAATTGCATGTCAATCAGATTTCTGTGAGCCTCAGCATTCTGGCTGGGGGAAGAATGGATCTTACCCAATATAGTATTTCATGTATTTCTATGCTCCTTCAAAACAGATTTAAGCAGAGGAATAAATGTTTAATGAGAAAAGCTGCTTTATTTTGTTCCTGTCTCCCGGGTACTTTCCTAGCCATAACAAAACAGCCTGCACAATCTGAACGTTCTCTCTTTCTTGAGATTTTATTCTCTACCATAGATATTTTTAAAGAATATAAATGACTCTATATTCCCCTATATCTGTCCTGTTTAAGTGTTAAGTTCTTTTCTTCATTATGGACCCTGTCACCTTCTCAGCCAGGGTAAAGAGACTTTGCACATTATTTCTCTTTTTCCCTTTTTCCAGGCCCACATCACTTCATTTGTTCAGTTTGGTTTAGAATGTTCCAAGTCTTAAGCCAGGGAAGCCATATTTTTAAAAAGTCATACTGAAAATTAATATTATTTTAGCTAGCAAGTTTCTGCTCTTAGAATATTTGTCTTTGAAAAAAAAAAAATTTGTCTTTGAGTATCCAGTGCCTGGTATTCTCCTTCTTTTTGACATGACATACTTAGGATGAACTTGCTTTTAACTTTCTCATCATTTATGTGGCGGTGAGACAATTTGGAGGAAATAAGAACTGCATCCTTCTTTACTGGTGCTCGCATAAGATAACTGAGCATACAAAGCGAAACAAATAATATTTCTTTTAAATATGCATCATGTTTAATTAGGATATTTTTTCACTTGTAATGGTGTCTTAAGTTTATATACATCCATTACAAGTGAAAAAATATCCTAATTAAACATGATTATCTGTGGGTTTATATAAACTGTATAAATATACCCACAGATATTTTGCCTATAGATAAAATCATTTGCCTCAGATCTTGTAAAGGTACCTTTTTTACTCCATATTTAGGTAACTTTACTAAACAGAGTACTACAAAGAACACCTCCATTGAAAATAATTATTCTTTTAGAGGATTTGCTTTGTCCTTAATCCCACACAAAACATAGTTTTTATTATGCCTTGATTTTCTATATTGTAATTTCATAAAAATTACTAAAGGTATTTCCCTTCTTACACTATATACTTTTCTGTTTCTATAGAATATACTTTAGTTCATAAGGATTCATCTACTCAGGCATAGTTTTTGCATAACCCATCCCTAAATGTTGGGTTGTTTTCAGTATTCCTGTATTTTGGTTGAGATAGCTATAATCAGTTGATAAATATTTATTCTCTAAAGTGGGATAGCTGGATAAGAAGTGGTTAGTACTAGACTGTTTTAACATCATTTCATCTTTTTTCCTCTCAGCTACCTCATCACTGACAATTTCTGACCAGTGCGCTCAGGGGAGTTGGCTATTAAGAATGTGGTCAAGAAAAACTATTTTACCCCAAGTCTGTACTTGAGCTATTTATCTCCATATCCGAATGAAAAAAAAAAAAAAAGAGCATTCATTAATAGAAAAAAACATCAACATAGGCAAATTATGAATTACTTGGTTTCAGATTGTTGATAAAGTTCTATACTATACATTTTTATGTAAATCAAGGTATTTACTAAGATAGTCTAGGCAAATTCATCTTCCAAGATTACCTTATAGAGGGGCTACTAAATCACCATAATTTGACATTCTCATTTCATTGCTGAGGCTCAGGAGTATTTTGAGAACATCATATAAATCACCATCAGAACCAGATAGCCCCACATTGATATAAGTGCAAAATTCTTAAATTTATATTGCAAAAACAGAAGAGGAAGTACCACTGGTTTGTGTTACATGCTCCAGGAAAACTATAATTAGAAACACTCAATAGTAATCAAGAATGCCAGTGGAACTGTAAACCCGACCAAAATTACAATGGTAACATGACATACCTGTTGATAAGTAGTTTGACTATACAGACATATTCAAAAAATTTTAAAACACCCTAGCTCATTTAAAATATTTTGTAGTGCCATTAAAAACAGTCAGCCATGGGGTGCCAAAAAACAATCAGCCACAAGATTTTCAGTCTATATAAGAAATGCAAACAATCTCAAGAATTACAGTTAGGATAGAGATAAGATGAATACCAAATAGGAATGATCAGTATTAAATAGAAATAAAAGAGATAGTATTGCTCTATAATAAGCTCAAGGGAAACTAAAGTCCTCACTGGAGACAGTAAATAGCAGTATCTAGAATATCATTACCCAAAATATGTTCTACAGAGCACTAGTTTCTTTAGATATGTCAGGATAAGTCTATATCTGTATACATACTAAAAATAAGTTCAGAAAAATCTACATCTTATATTCTGTCTTAGAAATTCACCATGTACAGAAAAAGAAACTAATTGAATTTATTTATCCCTGTGTTTAACATACTTCCTTAACTATAACCTTCCTCCTTTTTTCTTAATGTAACATTTGCTAATCCTGAGTTACAAATACTGTTTCCCAGAACAAATTTTGAGAAACCCCAATGTAGAATAAGAGTAACCTAAGCAAAAATGGTATTGAAAATTGGCAAATGCGAAACAAGACATTACAAGAGAAGATGATATATGTGCAAAGTAGCATGTATGAATATACCATATAATTTGTTTTACAGTAGAAACCAATGGCTTTATTGAGCAGAAAATGAATTTAACAGGATACAGTGGTGCCACAGCCTCCTATTAAGGGCTAAAAAACAAGTTGGAAGTAAGTCTCAAGTGGCCACAGAGAATCTCTGTGGCTCAATAATCACTCTGGGGCATCCTAGAATTAATAAACATGCCCTATTTTTTCTATCCTTGTCAAGACACAAAGGCCCAAGAGAAAGAGATCAACTGACAGTTTGGTTTACATGTGGTCCCTTAAGGCTCTTGGGGAAACAAAGAGAGGATATGATAGAAGTCATCTATAGGGTTTGAATTCAGTATCCTTTGAACACTGAGTATAGGTAATTCCTGAACATGAAATTGAGGCCTTATTAGAAGGATGGGAAGAATAAATGTTTGGAAGCCAAGAAAAGACACAATATCACCATGGTGAGTAAGGGTGTCAGAGGAAACAAGCCATATGGAAACTGATAATTTAATGATATGCTTGAAAACACTCTTCCTGATTTGTAAAACTACTTTATTCTGTAAATTAAGAGAGAACATTTGGAACTACGAAGGTATTACTCCTCAGAGGAGACATTTGACTAGTATGTTTTATGTATGTGAACTAGAAAGACAAAACACCAACTCCTGGATGCTAAAATGATTGAAGAACTAGCTTTCAGTGGAAAAAAAAGATAACAGAGACATCTGATCTAACACTGGGGAAACACACATAATGGATTCTTATATTAGATCAGTTTACTCTGCAAGGATATCCTTCATTTCAAGGGAGCAAAAGTATTTTTCTCCAAATTCACCAAAAGAAATCCAGTGCTCCATACACCCATACAAAAGATTGCTAAACGGCTTCCTGCAAAGAGAAGTAGCTAATGCCACTAAGTTTAGGAATGTCAAGGGAGAAAACATATAGGAGGGGGGTAGGATTTTGGAGTGGGGAAGAGAGAAATAAGATGGAGAATGTGAGTTTATTGGTGGAAGGATTTACTGTTTTCACGTAATAGGATTCAGATATTTGGGCTATTTAGGGGGCTAGCCATCGATTTTGTAGAGTGTATTTAGTGATGAATAATTATAAAAGTGTTTAGAAATCTCTTAGAAAATCAGGATGTATTGATGGTGTTCCCTTTCAAACTGTATCTGTGACAGTCCATGAGGATAAAGTCATCTTCCAGACCATCCGTCTCCTGCCTTACTCTGCAAAGAAATTAAAGTGACTTACAAGAAATGTGCATAGTACAGAGCTGTTGAAAACAGAGAATAAAGTCAGACTATATTTTTTAATTTAAGTTTTTATTTTAATTCCAGTTAGTTAGCATACAGTGTTATATTAGTTTCAGGCATACAATATAGTAATTGAACAGTTCCATACATCAGTCTGTGCTCAATAAGACAAGTGCACTCCTTTATCCCCACCATTTATTTCACCCATCCCCCCACCCATCACCCCTCCAGTAACCATCACTTTGTTTCCTATGATTAAGAGTCTGTTTCTTACTTTGTCTCTCTCTCTCTTTCTCTCTCTGTCTCTCTATTTTTTTCCTTTTTTTTGTTTCTTAAATTCCACATATGAGTGAAATCATGTGGTATTTGTCTTTCTCTGACTGATAAAGTCAGAGAATATTAAAGTTGCAGGTAAG